CTCAGAACTTAAATTCAAAGCAAAAATAATCTGATCAGTAAGTAGGCAAATGAATTAAATAGGTATTTTTCAAATGAAAAAGTACAGACAATAAAATAATGAAAAAAATATTCACATAGCTTAGCAAAGATACAAGAGAAAAAGAACCTTTAAATTTATCTCATTTTATTTTGTGAGTTATTAGTATTTAGCCTGCATGCATGCAACTGCATCTGGTTCACGCCCATGGAGGCCAGAAGAGGATGTCGGATCTTCTGGAGCTGAAGTTATGGACGGTTGTTAGTTACCACGTGAATGCTGGGACTCGAACCTCAGTCTTCTGGAAGAGCAACCAGTGTTCTCAACCACTGAGCCATCTCTCCAGCCCAGGCAAAGAACCTTTATACACTGTCTTTTGGAATGTAAATTGGTATAGTCACTATGAAATCAGTACAGAGAGTCATCAAAAAATGAATAATAAGCCCAATGTAGTGCCACGCACCATTAATCCCAGCAACTCAAGAGGATGAGACAGGCAGATCTCTGTGAGATCAAGGCCAGACTGGTCCATGTAGCATGTTCCAGTACCACTGGGGCTGCAGGGAGTCCCTGTCTCAACAGCAACAACGACTACAAAAACTAAAAATAAACTACTATATGATCTAGTTATACTGCATTTGATAAATACCCACAAAGTTTCAAAGGCAACATACCTTAAAGATACTTTCATCCCAAGCTTATTGTGGTTCTTCTCACTACAGTCAAGATGTAGAGTCAGCCTAGATGATCACAAATGGATGAGTGGAGAAAAAAATATATACTATGTATGTGCAGTGCAAAGTAACGTGCTTTTGTGAAGAACATTTAGTACAGAGGAAACCTATAAAAATGCATTGAATGTAAAATGTTGGGGGGGGCAGTGATGGCATAATAGGGGCAAACATCAAGGCTCTATGTTCCTATGAATTGAAAACTAAACATCTTATCTGTGACATCAAAAATGATGAGACAAATAGAAAGGCAAGGGAGGACCACAGCAAACATCTGACTATGTGAGACTAGATAAAATCCAGAAATGTTTAATGTCAGAGTTACAAACAAATTAAGAGTTGCTAAGTTAGAGCACTGAACATAATGGAAGGGAAGGTGACAATTCCTCATCCCCTTACTTTTAGTTTTCAAACAAAATAGAAAAAGAATAGCTTCATAACTAAATACAGCTAAAACAGAATATTATAGACAGATCTGCAAGCTGTATGAAACAGCCACTGATGCAGTACTCAGTACTGGCCATGTCATGGGACTTATTATATGTTGACAGGGCTGGAGCAGATTGGGAAGCAATCAAACTGCTCTGCTGGGGACAGTAGGAAACCTCACACTATTATATCTGCAAATGCCATAAGCCACCCCCTGACCTGCATTCCAGTGACTAAGGGCAAAATGACACAGAGAACTACACAAACATCCTAAAGCAACTGACCTCAAAAGAAACAAAGTGGACTTCAAACATCCTCAGGTAAAGATTGCAGGGCACAAAGGAAAAGACAGGCTTAAGTCTGGGGAAAATAATAATATTAAGTTACAAAGGTAAATAAATACAAGAGTAGCTACTACATCCTGAGAGCTTTAAACACTGAAATCCAAATGGAGCAGGAGCAACTACCCAA